TTTTTTTTTTTTTTTTTTTTTTTTTTTTTTTTTTTTTTTTTTTTTTTTTGCTATGGAGAGAGCAATAACTTGCCTGCAGTCTCTACGTGGAGACAGAGCAGAAGGATACTGGCCCCTACCACTTTCCCATGCTGAAGTTGGACCATGTTGCCTTCTCAGTTTACACCCTCTTAGCAGATATCATGGCGTTGTCATATTTAATTCCTAAATTCAAGACTGTTGTTCTTCATATTTAAAATATCCTAGTACATATGAAGCAAACATAGATACACATGCTAGCAATTTTGCTCAGGAATAACTTCTTATTAGTGAAACAGCTCAGTTTAGTTCCTTTATTTTTTCCCTTCCTTTTGCATGTTGTCATAACTTACAGAGCATCTGTGCTGCTATATTACAGGAATTGCTCACTGGCAAGTCAAGCAAGACAATGCAGATATGATACAGGCCTTCTGTTTTTTTCCAGTTGTTCAATGACAAAATCATACATAAATCAGTACTTAAAATTCTGATGTGTTTATTCTGTGCAAGTAAAATGAAAAATTTAAATACAAAATAAGCACATTTTTAAAAACAAAAGAATAGGTTAGTTGTACTCAATTAAGACATATGAAAATAAGTAGCAGCTTAGTATCAAGACATTAGTGTGCACGTCTTTAAGAACTGTTATTTTCTTTAGACCAGAGTCAGAACTCTGAATTTCTTGTGTTTTGATCCGTTATTTTAACTGGAGGTCTGAGCTCCAGCTGTGTGTCACAGGAGTACACTCGGTGAGTTCCCCAGGGTACCAGCCCTCAGTCAGCAAACACGGTCACTGCGTGCAGCACGAGCACAGAAACCAGGGAGAGCTCCCAGGTGCTGGCTCGGGAGGGCACGCGCGTGTTGGGAGCGCCGGTCGCGGCCTCCTCTTTCCTTAAGGTAGTGGTTGTGCTGTGAGGCATCTTGGAGTAGTTTGTTGGCATTCCACTGGTGATGCTTAAAGTCATGGGAGTGGTGGATGATCCCGTGGAGTTGCCCTCGGTTGGGTCCGTGGCGTGGATCGTGTGTGTGGCTCCTGTGTCCCAGGAGCCGCCGTCCCTCCAGGTCAGGCTGTCGGGGTGGCGGAGCAGGGGCTGCTCCGTGCTGGGGAACAGAACCGGGTGGCGCTGGGTGGCCAGGGGAGGGACTTCCTTGGCTTTCAGTTGTTTGTGCGTTTTGGTCACTTGGGTGGGTTCGGCTGCCTCGGGAGAGGTGGCTCTGTCTGCTGCCTGCACTCCCTTGGTCGGGGGGCTGGAGTCCCCGGCCGTGGGCGCGGCCGAGGCGGGCGCAGCGCTGGCCCAGAGCCCGGCCTGGTGGGCACAGGGAGCCCCCAGGACACGGGCAGCTGTGCCCTGCACCCACTGCAGCACGTAGGGGATGTTCTGTTTGTCGCTGCAGGCCCAGGGGTTGTTGTACAGAGTTACTACCTGCAGCTGAAGGAGCTGGTCAAAAGCTTTGTCAGGAATGTACGAGAACTTGTTGTTGTGCAGGTAGAGGCTTGTGAGGTGTTGAAGTCTCACCAGTGTTCCTGGGAGTATCTGGGACAAGAAGTTATTGGATAGATCCACAGTCTCTATGTTGTAGGGGATATTGGTTGGAACTGTCCAAAGTTTGTTGCTGCTGAGATTGAGAAACTTGAGACTGCTCAGTGTGTTGTTGATCAGGACAGCTCTTTCCACCATATTCCTGGAAACATCGAGCACTCGAAGATTCCACTGGTAAGCTGTATCAAGTTTCTGAAGAACTTTAATGTTGTTGTTTGTGGCATATAATTCCCATAAGGATTTAGGCAGATGAGCAGGAACATTCTTGAGCCAATTATTTGAAATATCAAGGGTCCTCAGATTGGTGAACCTCGTTAGCTGATGATCGAGATCTACAAACTGGTTAAAGGACAGATTTAAATATGTAAGGTTGTCCTGAAGTCCCTGGGGCAGTACAGTTAAGTTTCTGCCTGAACAGTCCACATTCCTGTCGTTTCCTGAGCATGTACAGCTAGAAGGACAGATACCCAAACCAGTGGGTAGGAAAACCAGAAGGACCAGCAGACAGGTAGATGTATTCGATATCTGGTATTCCATTGTTGCCTGGAAATAAATATACCAAAATGACACCCTTTAAACCCATATAATACATTTTATCTCTGTATAAGGGTTGTCTGGGCAATGGCCACTTGCAGGAGAAATTAAGTAAAAATATCAATAACCCCCTTTGAGGCACGGTCCTTTTTAGAATTGTTCAAGAGAGACTTCACAAAGCATCCCTTCAGCCTGTCATGTTGTCTGGCAGAATGAGACTTGTTTTTTCATCTCTCTTTCCCCCTCCAGCTCAAATGAGGGCTTTCTTCCGAAAATGCAAGTCTCTTCCAAACGTTATACAATGTCTGCTTCTTGTTTTTAGTGATTTCAAGCCTATATTATGTTTGGAATAATGTGTTCTTTTATAGAGGATGAAAAAATGGCTGTCAACTGGATCTGCTTCACAAATCTCTGCAGTAGTGTAGCAGTCCCCCCCATCCAGGGATGCTGTTTGCTTAAGTAAATTGGTTAAAATGCATCTTAGGAATGTGGTTTGAAACGCAAATTCCACGTTCATGCTCACATGCACGTTAGTATTTTTCCCTCCTTACAGTGTTAATCACATTCTCAAAGCTGGTAACACATGTCCAGAGCCCGAATTGCTGTTAGTAAGAAATCTCTGACACTGCAGCAAATTTCTGGTGCAAGCATCTGTCAGCAACTCCTAATTCCGCTCCCGTTTCCGTCTCTGATTCCGTAGTAGGTTTTTGTGATTAAAAACAAAAAACCACAAACTTACCGTGGTCTCCTGCAGTATCAGCACATCGTTTCCGTGATGGATGGGAGCTTAGAGGTCGCCTTGTTCTGGAGAGCAGCTCCAGAGGCTGCCGGGGGCTGTGCTTGTCTCCTCAGCTGCATCGTGTTCCTGCGCGCGGCTCCGCAACCACCTGATCCGCGGCACTGCAGAGCCGTGGGGCTGGTGCACAGCAGAGCACATCCAGGAACTCCCCGGGCTTTGGGAGCAGCCAGGGAACTGCTCCACAGCTCTAGAGCAGGCTGGGAGTGCTCCAAACAGAGCTGCTCCCCAGCTCCAGTGCAGGCTGTCAGTGCTCCAGACACGCGGCAGTGCCTGCAGGAGCGGCACCGAGGGGATGTCTGGAGGCTGTTGGAGCCTGAGCTGTGATTGTTCCATTTAGTGTTTCTGTGTGAAAAGTCAGGTTAGTTGTGTTCTTTTTCACCTTTGATTAAGCTCTCCTCCTGTAGTAGAGGTTAATGTTAATTTAGGCTTCCTATCTTAAGCTTTTTTAAGCTACAGTGCCATAATATATTTTCATAACTTGAAAATCCCTTTCTACTCCTCAGATCAGGTGTCACCGTATTGTCAGGTATAATGTAGCTCAGCTTGTGGGATTGTACAGATTCCTACAGGAAATCTCTATCTGAATTTCTTCAAGCAATATGGTAAGAGTGTTTGTAGTTTATAACACTATAAATTCTAACAGGTTATAATAAGCCTTAATCTTTGTATAGTTGTAATGCTATTCTTTAGGCATACCCTGTCATACAGCTTATGTAAACTGTAAGAAAAAATTATAAATATATTTTCCTATGGCTGTTAAATGCACAGCAGCCAGGAATTGCATTTGCATAACGTACTGCTCTCTTTATTGGTGGTAGTTTAAAGATTTTGAAGTTTATTGTTTGTAAACCTGTCCCCTGTGCTACATCCACAAATCTGTTCCCTCCTCAAGCAAACTCAAAACTCCAAACTCTGTGCCATTTTGCAGAGCCGTCATAGAAAGTTAATTTCAGCATCTAGCAGCTTGTTTCTATAAATATGAATATTCAACACAGGTAAAAGAAAATAAACATTAATTTACTTCTGAGACCATCCTGCTTCTTCCCACCCAAAAATTAGCTTAGCAAAGGCTGGTGTTAGGGGGGTGAGCTTTGCTGGTACTCAAGGCCCAGAGTAGCACTTGGACACCTTGAGTTCAAAGGGATCTGGTATCCACGAAACATTAAATGAATTTTTTAAGTCTGTATTAATAATTGAAAGCTTTCAGAGGAAGAAATCAGTGAATGTGTACAACTGGTTCTGCTTATCATCTGCCCGAGTGTGCTGCAAACTTTCCGGTTTATGCACAACAATCCAAAGGCTCCAGGTACAAGAAAGCCTTTTTGTAGTTGTTCTTCAGGTGTTTGGAGTGATTTGAGCTTTTTTAGTGACCATGGTATTAACTGTTCCCTCATACTGTTCTCTGCTTTACCAGGCTGTAGTGGGAAGGGACTGGAGCTTTTACACCAGTCAACTCTTTGCTCATATTTGACCTAAAGAAAATCTCATTCCTAGTGGTAAAGAACAACCACTGGCTGTTGGGAGGATTTGGTTGGTACCTGTAATCCACAGGTACCAAGTTGTTACCCTGTGACAGGCAGAAAACAGGCCTTTATAGGAATGCCAGAATGGTTTGGGTTGGAAGGGACCTTAGAGCTCATCTCGTTCCACCCCCTGCCATGGGCAGGGACACCTTCCAAACCATGGGGTTCCTCCAAACCCCATCCAACCTGGCCTTGAAAACTTCCAGGGATGGCAGATGGTTTAGACTTTGTTTTGAATTCGAAGCTCTGTATCTGAGCAAATACTCGGTTGGGCTTTAAGTGACCAAACCATCTTTGAATTAGAAAGCTTTATTAAAATGAAGTGGAATTCCTTGCATTCACTTACACAGCCCAGTGCAGCAAACCCTGCTCAGAAGCCCTGAGTCCCTCTGAAGCTGGGCTGTCTCGGAGCTGCGTCTCCATGTGTGCCTTCCATGGATCTGTCTATCCTGGCACACCCAGCAGTGTGCACTCTGGCTTCTGGAGTCTCCCACCTCGGGAATCTCCAGCTACAGGTAATGAGTGGGCACAATTTGTATTGTATTTGGAAATTATTTGCTTCAGGCAGAAGCAGGTTGTTCCCTCTTGTGAAAGCTGAAGTTGGGAAACACCGGGGAAATGCCTGTGCCGTGGCCTCGCTGTCCTTGCCTGTGTCAACTTCTCTTTTTTTCACTTATTTGAAAAATACTTAGTTTAAGAAGATTGTGGAGTATTCTGTAAATGACTTTTGGCAGTCTCCAAAGGGTGTTCTGGCTGGGGCAGTGGTTCACCAGTCTCCTGAAGAAGGAGCTCAGGTGGTGGGGGCAGTGGTTCCTCTGCTTCCGAGTGAAATGCCGAGTGCTTGCTGGGATCCGAGCTGGGATCTGAGCTGGGATCCTCGGGGGGTTCCTGGAGCCAGTCAGGTGGAGGTGGCAGGTCGTGAGACTCAGGTGGAGCGTCTGGGTGAGGACAGGAGTCACCTGCAGCGTTCCCTGTTTCCAAGGAGGGAGCTGGAGGTGGGTCTGTGCTGGGAGCTGCTGTTCCGGCCGGGGGAGGCAGCTGCCCATTCTCATTGCTGGTAGTGTGCTGGGATGGGTTCTCTGATCCAGTGGGATCCTGCTGTAAGTTTGGGCCTTGTTTCAGTTTCCAAGGCAGCATGAATAAAACTGATGACCGTTTGTTGTCCTGGTCAGAGTCCAGGAAGAGGTCTGGAGTGTCTCCATCTGCGAAGGGAGACCGGCCTGCCCAGTGGGAATTGGCCAGAGCAGGCCCAGGCCTCAGGCAGCATTTCCACAGGAGAATCACCATAATTGCCAATATCATACCCAGCAGAACAATGCCAATTAGCAGTCCTGCTACCCAGCTGCCATCGCCAGCCTCTTCCTCTCCTGTGGGCACCCGAGGTGTTGTAAGAGCCAGTGCTGGGCCAGATGGGTGTAAACTGGGTCCAGGTGCTGCTGTGGAAAGGGACTTCCAGATTTCTCCACAGAAGAGAACCAGGATGACCTGGTTGCTGGCCATTTCCCTCCAGCCTCTTTAAATGTGTCCTCTCCTAATGCAGGGAAGAAACAGAACATGGTAACTTGAAAACTGCATTTGTTGTATGGTTACACTTTGCTGCCTCCAGGCAGTTTTGCATCAATACCATTGTAGTGAAATAACACTTGACTCAATGTTTCAAATTTCAAACCTATTCCCATCTGCATGATCAGCAGGTTTGCCACTGACTTTACAAATAACAGCAGATTTTCAACATTATTGATTATTGTAATTAAGTGACTTTTCAGAAGAGAATGTCTTGATTGTTATTATCTTATTTCACCTTATCAGAAAAAGGTATCAGCAGAGCAATCCTGACAGGGTTTCAAAATAACCTTTGTCAGTCATGGAGCTGGTCATGGCCGTGGAACACACTCTGCAGCACTGGCAGCAGGGTTGACACACAGTGTTGTCAGGAGTGAAGAAATGGTTTGTTGTGATGAATATAATATGAGACCAAAGTAAAAGGCTCTTCACAGATCTCTTAAATCACAGGTCTTTTATTTCCTGTTCTCACATCTCTTCAGCATAGCAAAATATTTTAAAAGTTTCCCAAGTACTGGTGCTGTAATGGAACAGCATTCTAATGGTAAACTGTTTTATAAATAAATTCCTGCACGGGGCAGTGGAGGAGAGTGTACAAATGTTCAGTTGTTGGCAGGAGACAGATTTTTTTTTTCCTGTACTGATTAGAGTTCAGATCTCTGAACATCTCCTTATGAAATAAATGCTATAAAATCCATCCCCTACACAGAACTTTTCCTTCTGAAGTTACTTTCATGCAATTTGAGCTAATTCATTAGCTACAGTAGTGCTAGTCCTGTGAAGCTACTTCTGGGAAATGAATATGCATGAGTCTTTATGGGTTTACAAATATGCAAAATTGAATTTTAGATGCAGCAGTGTAAACACACATGAGTAGTTAATGCATCTTGAGAACATCAGGATCTGAACTCTGTCAGGTTTGTTACAGGTTAAAATGGTTCAATTGAATTTTTATTCTGCTCACCTCTTTTCAAAAGAGAGACAAATAATAGTTAGATGGTAATTCATAGTAACGTCCCCAAACAACATATTTGAAACCCTCATGCTTTTAAGGTACAGATATTCAACAAAAGCTGTGCACACACCCTGGAGCTGGGATGTGCACGGTGCTGGACATGGTGCAGCTCCATTTCAACCCAAATAATACAAATACTGAGCTTTTCCCTGTTGCAGTTGATCCTTACCTGTACGTTTATCTTCTCTCAAGCAAGCATCATCTTACTCTGTTGTTTGAAGCCTCAGGAGGACAGAGAGTGTGCTCAGCGCTGAGCTGCTTAAAATGGCCCCTTTCATGCTGAGGCTGGTGCAGCTGAGAGGAAGTTGGCCAACCCTCGCCGCAGGAAGCGTCGGGAGCGGGGAGCTCGCAGGGTCTTATCGCAGAGATCGCGTGTGCCACGAGCAAACCGCTCTGCTCTGCTGCTCTGGACTGCTGCAGGATGTGTCAGGGGCTTTGGCCACGTGAGAGACACGTATGTGGAAATTCATAAATACTCGTTTGCCTGTCTTTGTAGAAAATAGTTACAGTTTCTTCTGTGTGAGTCAAACCCTATGCAAATTTGGGCTGAGTTGGAATCACTGATGTAGTTTCAGTGGTGGGTTTGGTGCCCTCGGGATTATTAGTGGAAAGCCAGCCTTGGGCAGTGAGTCATGGAACACTGTCTGATCATGGGGTGCTGGCTGCTTACACATTTTCAGTTGTGTGGTTGTATTCAGAGGCAGATGAACTCCAGAGTCACGCTCGGCCTGTCCCCCGCTCTGTTAGTTTTCTGCCTGGACCATGTTGGTACCTGCTGCCATCATTAATGGGGGGCTGTGCTCTGAGCAGCTGCTTCCCACTCTCTTGTTGTCCATACCATGGAGTGTAACTTGAACTACTTTCTTTTGTCTCCTTGACCATTTTTGCCTGGAAAGGCTGCCTGGTGAAAAGAAGCCCACACCAAATATGTTGTCATGACATTTTGCAAGTGTGTTCCTCCAGTGGCTGCTGACGGATTGCTCCACAGCTTCTTCATCTCCTCCTGCCTTTCCTGTTGTACCTCCCTTCTGATTGCACTGCTTCTCTTTTTGAGGCTGTCCCTGTTTCTGCAGCAAACACACATCCTGATCCCATGCCCACACTGTAACTCAGTGTTTCCTGTCTGATTCCCTTGTCTCAT